AATTACAGTAAATGATGTATTTTCATCAGTCCCCTCAAAATGTTCCCCCTCATTTTGAGAATATTTATTCCATCATTCTTGCCACGTTCTGAACCAGTTCTGGAAGTTCTCTATCATGTTTTTATGAGGTGTGATAACAAATTTGGTGAATATTCTGGACAGTGTAGATGAAAGGCATACTTGTAAAATCATTATCGTGGGTCTTTATTCTACCTTATTCAGCAGATTTGGTACTTCTGGCTCCTTCTTGGAAGTCAAAACAATCATGAATCAGTTTAGGACACTGAAGCAGCCACAACAGCATAACTAAAGACACTCAGGAAAGAGGACTTTTAGATCTGCTTCAGCAAGTGGTAAGAACAGCGGCATACATGTATTCAAAGCAAGGGAAGTATTTTGAGAGCGATTAATGGCAAGGAGTCTTTTACTGTAATACATCTTTAAATTATTTAATCATTCACTGTATTTTTTCATCACACCTTTGTATGAGATATGTTATGGTTGATACACTGTGTCAACTTTAGCAGTTTAGCAGTTTAACTAAAGACTCAGCTAGAGCAAGGAGATTTTGTGAGTGTACACCAGCCCTGGACAGGGCAGGCGGGGTGACCTACGTACAACATAAGGGAGGAATGGAGGCTTGCTCTTGCCCCTTTTGCTCTGGCTGCTGCCTTTAACTGTTACCTTGGGGCCATGCCAACCTGCCTGGGAGCCAACTGATTATGGACTGAAATCTCCATAAACAGTGAGCTAAATAAACCATTTGTTTCTTCATTTGAGTGTAGGATATTTTGTTCCACTAACAAGAGAAAAGTAACCAAGACAAGATACAATTCAAGGATGCAAAGATTTCAACGGATTTGGGAATGTCGCAGAGAGAATAAGAGGCATCTGCAGCAGGCAGAATTCAATGAGTTTTCAGGAATTACAGCAAGTAGCTTGCTGTACATATATGGAAAGTAAGGCTGGAGATCAGGCTGGAGACACACAATTGAGCAAGTGTCAGATTGAGTAGTTTGTACTTAATATGATAGGGAACTACCGATAGCTTCTAAAAAAGGGTACTAAAACTTGTTCATGCATTATTTTGACCCATTTTACTTTGGAATTTATATTGAAGAGTAAAAAATAAAAAAGGATAGTCATGATTTGGCCACTGCTTAGGAAGATGATTTTGTTAAGACCATGAGATGAACTGGAAGTAAAGCAACTAAGCAGGAGACTGAATCAGGGAATATAGCAAAGGTCCAGACTGGGGTGATCAATGCTGGACCTCGGGTAGAGGCAATAGAGCTGGAGAGAGAGAGCAGAAGGAACAGCCATTACACAGGAAACATCTATACCTGTGCTGAACTATGTAGCAGGCCCCTGCTATGTGCAGTCATTTAAATATAAATTTAATGGAAGTTAAACAGGATTTAAAACTCAGTCCCTCGGCTGCATTAGCTAGATTGATAGCCATTCACTGACTCATTTCCACCAAGGTAGAATGTTTTATTGGACAATGTAGACTGATACACTTTGGGGACTAATCAAGCATAGGGATAAGGAGAAAGGATTAAAAGATACTGAGGTTTGGCTCCTTGGTTAATGAGAGAGGTGACACCGTGAGTAGGAAGAAAAGTACCACGATTTAGGAGGAAAGATGTCATTCAGTTTCTGTCAAACTGAATGCCCGGTGAGATGCAGAGCCTGCTACAAATAATTGTGTATCAATGGTACAAGGAAAGCAAAGTACTCTGTGGGTCTCCCAAAGCTTGTAAAAGAGCACACCACCATTAACTGGCTTATTCCCTTCCGTGCTCAGTTCCCTTCTTAGTTTGTGCAGCTCCTAGAAGGTTACGAGTGGGCAGCCTGGTTCCTCATCCCCTTAGGACGAATGGCTAGCACATACTACCATGAGGGAAGCACCCTAAAGGCTTTGCTTTAATCCCTACTCCTTGGTGCCAGTTGGAACCCATTTTTCTCACAGATACTGTGTATTTCCATTCCCCTACCTCACTTCCCCATCCTTGATCCTTGGAAAGTCTCCTCAATCTCATTTTTTAAATTATTTCTTCATTTTGGAACTATTCCTTCTCACAGAGGCTACCTCTTTTTACATTTTACTCTTAGGTTAAATTCCAAAACCTTTCACTATAATCACTCCCTTGCCTGATACACAAACCTTCTCACTGACTTTCATCAGCAAAACCCATCCCTGTCTCATGCAACAATGTGTGCCTGGAAGAGAATCATACCACCTAGCTAAGTGGCATCTTTTTTTAAAAAGAGGTCCCTTTTAAATATGACTACCAACTCAAGACTGTCCTCAGTATTGTCCACATTGTGTTTTGCTAGCCACTCTTTTATTCTTCAAGGGGATTATTTCTCAGCTTTTTCTAGCTCCTTCAACATCCAATGATCCCTCCCTACTCACAACTTTGTATTGTACAGAATAAAAAAATGCATACAGACCAGACCTTACCTCATCAATCCCTGTGGGGCAGCCATCACTTACAGCATTTAGTGAAAACTGGGAAAGTGTACATAAACAGTATGAATGTGTGAGTGAGTAGGCTGGATGCCAAACTCCTGAAAGGTACTGCTTCTCAGGAAGAGCAATTAGAAAAGTGCCCCTTCCTCTAGGCTAAACTGGTTCCATGAAGCAATTACATGGTGGCAAAACAGGTACTAAACTTTAGCTCCCACCTGTACCCTTGCTCTGCTGTTGTCTGAGCACACCATCATGAAATGTACACTGGATTTACCTGCAATTGCATCCATGCACTATGCCTTTCCTCAAAAAACATTCTGTAAATGGATGATCCTTGTTGTGAACTGAGGTTCACCCCTCTACATCTGAGCTAGGTCCTAACTGCTTCTTGCCTACTTGAGGACAATCTTTTTCCATTTGTCTTCTCTTGTCTTTTGTGTCATCAACTTTACCTATCTAAAGCCGATTCTAGCATACCAACACAAAGCAGCTTCTCCTATTCTAAAATACCCTCCTTTGATCCCAATATCCCTCTGACTGATGCCCATTTCTTAGCTGCTCTTCACAGGAAAGCTCTCTCTCACCTCTTATTCTCCTACCATATCCTAACCAGACATTTTCCCCTATAGCTTTTTTGCAAGAATTTTCATCAATGTCATTAGCAACCCTTATCTGGCTAAATTCAGGATTTAACTGCTCAGCCCTTAGCTGGGGATCTGGCTCAGTAGAGTGCTTAGCATGTGCAAAGCCCTGGATTCAGGCCTCAGCACTGCAAAAAACAAAATGACAAAAACCACAAACAAATAAAAAGGAAAAAACCCTATCATAATTCAATTGATCACTCATTCTCTCCTTCCTAATTCTCCCTTACCTAACACTCTTCTCCCCCACTCCACAGTCCCACACACGCACTGGGGACTGAATGCAGGGCCTTACATTGAGTTACATCCTCAGCCCTTTTTAAAGTTTGTTTAACTTTGACACAGGGCCTCCTTGAATCTCTAGGTTGCCCCATTGGACTGGAACTGCCAGTCCTTCAGCTTTAGCCTTCCACAGTGCAGGGATCACAGGCGTGTGTCACTATACCTGTTCCTTTTCCTAAACCTCCAAGTACTAGAGTGCCTCTTGGTCCTCTCCTAAGTAATTCTGTGTAAACCTGAGGCTTGAAAATATGTGTCAATGAGCCCCAAATTTATATCTCCAGATTTATGCATCCAATTGTTTACTTAACATCTCCATGTAGATGTTTAACATGCACCTTAAACAGAGAGCTCTTGACTTCCTACACACCAGATTTGCTTCTCCTTGAGTATTCTCCATCCCATTAAATACACCAATCCTAACCCAGTCTTCAGGGCCAGAAACTAAGAACCATGACATTCTTTTACACTGTCTCCTCATCCATATTCATTCCAATCAAAATGTATCTAAATAGAACTAAAATAACTATAAAACAAAATGGCCCTTTTCCTACCCTATCCTCTGCTCTCACCCTAGTACAAGGTAATATGAACAACCTCCTTTCTGGTCCCTTTGGGGTGCTCGTTTTCCTTCCCTATTGAATATTTCACATATATAGCAAGATTAACTTTAAAAATGTGAATCAAGTATAATCCTTCCTGGGCTCACCCTCCCAGGACTTCCTATTGTTCTTATAATGCCTCATAGGCTCCAACAGACTCTGGCCACTTGCCCAGGACTCCAGGCCTATGTACTCCTACTTTTTGGCTGGTTGACTCTGCTTAGCCATAGTGGACTTTTGCTCTTCCAACAAGCATCCTCACACCTCTGCAGCTACTACTGGTTTTCTTGGCCTAGAAAGCTGTTCTTCTCTTCCATTTGATAGGATTTGCTACGCTCCTTCTTTCCTATCATGCATATACATGGACAAAGGTCTCCTCCTTGAGGCAATGTCTGACCAGCTCTAAAGTCGTTCCATACACTGCTTTATTTTTATTACCACTATCACTACCTGCAGTTTGTATGTTTCGCTTTACTTTTGAGACAGGGATTCTCTATGCAGTTCAAGCTGGCCTTGAGCTCTCTTTGTAGCCCAAGTTGGTCTCGAACTAGCATTGATCCTCCTGCCTCCTGAGTGCTGAGATTACAGGCCTGCGCCACCATGCCCAGTATGGCAATTGTTTTTGCTATCCTCTATCCGTACATTAGAATGCAAACTCCACCAGAGCCTTGGTTTGTCTATAGCTTTATCCCCCACCCACCACCCCGTGTCTAGAACTGTGCCAAGCGCATATTAGGTGCTCAGTTAGTACTTATGGAATGGATTAGGCCTCTCCCAATTTTATTCCACTGAAATCTTTACCCTACTCTACCCTCAATCTATACTCAGCAAAGACGAAAAGTTCCTTTGCAGTGCTGCTCTCTGCTCTCTCAAGCAGCTCCCTCACGGCTCCTTTAAGCGGACTCCGAACGTCCGGGGTAGGCGGGGCCGAAACCTCAAAGACGCCAACTCGGAGAGGTGGGAGGGGCGGGCCCTGCGTGCTGCGTGCGTGCGCGTTCTGGAGGCGCCGCTGCCGCCGCTCTTGAGGCTGCCGCTGTCCCCGTCGCCGTCGCCGCGCAGAGCCGGAGCCCGAGCCGGAGCCACGGCCGAGAGGAGGGAGGAGGAGGTGGAGGAGGAGGTGGAGGAGGCGCCGGACCCGGGGGGTGAGTGAGGGGCGGGGAGCCCCAGCCTGCCCTGAGGGAGCGGGGACGCGGGGCGGCCGGGCTGTACTGAGGCAGGTCGAGTCGCCGGTCCGTCCTGGGCTCCCCCTTCCTCCTGCGCGTTCCCTCGGTGTCCGGGGCGGCGGCCGGGGGCCTGGCCCGCGGGAGGGGCCAGGGCTCGCGAGGCCGGGCCGCCGCCTGGGCCGGAGCCAACTGCGCCCGCGGACCGTGCTGGCCGTCTGTGGCTGGGCCTGCGGGAGTCGGCCGGGAGGGGCCGGGCCGGGTGCGGGAGAGAAAGAGGACATTGTGTCCCCCACCCTGCAACTCTCGGAGGTGTCAGGGCACGAGCTCTTTTCCCTCCCCGTCTCTCGGACGCAGTGCCCTCATCCCTTGCCCCCGGAGAGATGTAGAAGGTTGGCGTCGCTGTCTTTTCTCCCTTGCTGTCCCCGGACTAGGGTCGGAGCTGCTTGTCACACCAGCTTGCCCTTTGAGGGGCACATGAGGAGGGGGCGGGAGGACTGGGTGAATTTTATGTCCTGTGCCCTGCTAGAGCGGTTAGGTGGACTGGAGTGCTGCTCTCTCTGTGTGTGCACTTTTGTCAGGGTTCAAGGACCCACTTCCCTTCCTTTATTCCCCCAGTGGGTAGGGCTGACATCTCAACAACCCACTCCATTTCCCAATCCATTTCCCGCCCTCTTTCCTCCCTGCCTTCTGTAGCTTGCCATGCTTGCATTCACCTTTTCAAGTGTGGCTTTTTTCTTGGCTTTCTGCTGCTGCTTTTAAATTTCGTTGGCAAAGAGGTCATGGTGTGATTCTTGTCTTCCTTCAAACTAACACTTGAGAGTGTCGGGTTGGTCAGATTGCCTCCTGCCCTTCAGGAAGTTAAGGAATTGTGTAACTTATATAGTAAGAAGAAGAGAAGACAGTTGATCCTCACAGGGCCGCAAACCAGAGTTTAGGAGACCTTTGGCCTCTTGGAAAAAGAACTAACAGTGAGGAGTAATATACTGTATTTCTTTTGGGGAGGTAAAATTGTTTCTTCACTGCTTTCAAGGGAAGAGTCACAGGACAGGTCGTTGACTGACTGAAACCTCACAGGTAGCCACTGTTTTCGGTTTCTTGAGTGGCAGGTGATTCTGTTTTTTAGTACAGTAAGAATAAAGTGTTAGCTGTTGGATGTAACCAGGGGAGCCAGCCTTCAAACCGATGCCGAAGGGCAGTCTTACAAGAACTGCTGCTAGAAACAGGATTTGGAAACTTTCTTTGGGTTTCCTGTCAGAACGTGTGGGGGTGGGCATGCTATGTGCAGTTTTCTTTTCTTTTGGTGTAATTGATGTCTGTAGTATTTTGATTAAGCTTTAGATTAAGCCTCAGTCTTTATGTGCTTTCCTATAACATTGTCTATTTTGAAATTATAGTTTGATTTTTTTTAGTATGATGTTTCATTGAATCTTGGGGTTTTTTTGTCATTTTGAATTATATTCTATTCAAATATGATTAAGTATAAAGTATTAAGGATTATACGTGTTTAGTAGTTGTTGAATGAGTTTAATGATCACAAAGATGTGATTAGTTGTTACATATCATTTGTCCTTTTAAAATGTATCTTGTGTAAAAACTCTGCATTTCACTACCAGTGTGTAAAATGTTAAGCTTTTCTAGGCTGTTGACATCTTTGAGAATATGATGAAATAGGTGGACCCTGTCCTCTGAAAAAGTAACAGGCATTTTTGGCACGATTTTGCTTTCAGTTTCAGAGATCAGCTGAAGCCAATCTTAGATACTTTCAAAAGCGAACTGTGTGGGATGTGGTGATGAATGCCTGTAACCCCAGCACTTGGGAGGCAGAGGCAGGAGGATCACTGCAAGTTTGAGGCCAGCCCGGGTTGCATAGTGATTTCAGCCAGTTTGAATTACAGTTTTATTTTTATTTATTTATTTTGTCATTTTGAGTCAGGGTCTTGCTATGCAGTTCAGGCTGGGCTCACTTTGTAGCCCAGACTGGTCTCAAACTTGTAGTGATCCTCCTGCCTCAGCCTCCTGAGTGCTGGGATTACAGGAGTATGCCAAGAAGCCTAACTCTATTAACAGCTTTAAAACGATATACCCCTGGCTTCTAGAAGGAAATAAGATTGTTAGTTACTTTGACAGCTTAAAATCATAATCATGACTGCTTTATGGTTTTTATTTGTACAAACTACTTTTTAGTATTGTAATAATTTGAAAATATTCACAAATCAAATGCTTTGTTTTCCTCTTTTTCAAATTCATTCCACATGCATGGTTTTTTGTGTAATTAATGGTCATGTCAACATTTAATATTAATTCATCAAGTGCTTACTGAATTCTTACTATGTGGATAAAACAGTGTTCTTGCTGTCATAGAGTTTTACTCTATTCAGAAAGGACATTGTCATGATCAAATAAACACATAGTGTATGTCAGGTGATAAGAGCTGTGCAGAAGAGTGAAGTAGATTGCGGGTCTAGAGAACATTGGCAGGAAGGGATCTGACACTGGAGGAGAGACCTGAAAGGAATGAAGCAAGTGTGTTTTCTTGAGCAAAAAGTTATTTTTATGAGCAAAGATCTCAGTGTGGCTGGTGGGCAGTAAACAGGAGGGAAAGCAAGAAGGCTTGAGATGAGAAAAGTAGCTGGAATCACTTTAAGATATAGACCATAGTAATGTTACTTTGAATGAGAACCATTGGAAGCTTTGAAGTAGAAAAGAGATCTATTCTAATTTAAGTTTGTAAACATCACTCTGGCTGAAAGTCATCTTGGGTGAGAGGATATGGGTAGAATTGGGAAGATAACTTAGTAAGATAATCTACATTTTAAAATTTTTTCATTGATTGCAAAGTACTTCTCTAGTGGTTAGGTATGTGGGTAGTTTCCCTCCATTTCTCCATTAAAGTATGATGCAGTTAATGTTTATGTAGGCAACATTGTGGGTTTTTTTTTTTTTTGGAACATTTTATTGGGATTCTTTTTCAGCGGGATCAAAGTATATGAATACATTTGTTTACTGTATTTCTGAATTGCCTACAAAGCATACATGTCAAGTTATTTTGACAGCCACAGTTGTTAAACCCAAGTTTCATGGCAATTTGATTTTCATTGGATACTATTAATACTTCAAAAATAGTGTCAGTCATGTAATGAGATCTTTTAGATTATTAGGTTGAGTTTAGCTCACCTCTGTCTTTAACATTTAACCACTGAGTACTAACTGTTGAGGGTACAGAGATAAATTAGGGTCTCTGCCTTTAGGGAGTTTTTACATACTGTTGTAATTTAGAATCTAACAGCTAAATAACTACAGATCTTGCCCGTGTTTTTTGTTGCTCATGAACTTTGTTAGTGTATTAACAAACTGCATAAAAAAGATATTGCAGTTAGACTTCCGGTTATCAGTATGAATTATTACTTTTCTTACAAAGCAGTTTTTAAAAAATGATTCCGGTTATTTGTTTAATTTTTATTGTTTGATGTTTTTGTAGTCTTATGGTTTTGACAACCTCATGTTTTGTTCTTTGGAATAACTTACACAATTAATACAGTTGAAGACTCACATTTAAATTTTTAAATTATTTTAATTTAATTTAATTTATTTTATTTTGGTTTTTTTGAGACAGTCTTGCTGTGTAGCCCACCTCAAATTTGCTGTGATCCTCCTGCCTGAGCCTCTTGAGTGCTGGGATTACAGGCGTGTACCACCATGCCTGTCTGTAATTCTTTGTAATTATTAAAACAGACTTCATTAAATAAGGTCACCATTGCATCTTTGAATTTTGTTGTTGTTTTTTGAGGCAGTATGTCATGGTGTAGTTTAGGCTGGCTATGAACTCACCGCATAGTCCAGGCAGGCCTCCCACTCGTAGTGATCCTCATGCCTTGCCTCATGCCAGGTCCTGGAATTACAGGTGTGAACCACCACACTTGGTTGAAATTTTCTTTATAGAAGAGGCTTATACTCATCTTCTTTGATTATACCATTGTGAAGACTTTACTTAGCATTTCTAGTTCTGATCTAGATAACTTTGTTTAGCATAAGCAGAGAACTTCATCATCTATAAAGAGAGTAAGTTGAATTAAATTACCTGAAAGCACCTAGCACTATGTATGACCAATGCTAGAAGCTCAGTAAATGCTTATTGAACTTAAGATTACAGGTAAAGTTCTTGGTTTTAAAATTCTCTTATTTTAGATGTTCAATAAAAATAACTCATATAAAACATGTCTTTTTTTTAGGGTTTTTTTTTTTTTGGAGGGGGGTTTTGAGATAGGGTCTCAATATATTCCCCAAATTGAACTCATGGTAATCCTCCTGCCTCAGCCTCCTGAGCACTGGGATTGCAGGTATGTTTCACCACGCCCAGCAAAACGTAGCTTAACATTGTGATATGTTTAAAATTATTAACATAAACGTACTGCCCCCTAATGTTCTTTTTCACATTAAACTAATCTGTTGTGATAAAATGTTATGGCATATTTCCAAATATTTTTTGCTTATTCTGATATCATATACTTACTATATGACTTAATATGAAATCACATCTTATGGAAAGTATTAGCATTAAAAAAGCTTTCATTGACCAACTATTTTGAAGAAAACATGACATTATAATAGCTAGTGCTGATTTAATATCATCTTGTTTTGAAGTCCTACCATGCTTTTTTTCTTCTGTCTCCATCAGTTTTGTCATGTTGTATCTAACTGGATTTCATTATATGTGATAGTATAAACAAAATTTTTTATGGACAAGGAGATAATATAGTAACCATTGATCGTTTTCTGTTAGTTGGTTCTGAATACCTGTAATACTTTCATTCTCTTGAATGGTTTTATACTATTTTGTTATGTTTGATACTATAGTGTATGAAGGTATACTCAAATATTTCAAGGAAAGAGCTACTATGGTAGCTACTGTTATGTCGAGTTTTCTTGTGGTGAAACAGTATGTTGCTTAAATTGTTCTGTTCTGATCTGTTTTGTTATGT